AGATGTGGATTTAACTCAAGAGGCTAACAGTTATGCAACAGCGCTGACACAATAACATGCAACAAATATTGAAATATTTAGAAGATAAATTAAAATGCAACACAGACTGTGTATCTACTACACGGCTACATGGTTTGTATATGTCCATCAGCCCTGACATGCCTGTTTGAGTTTAGATTTAGCTTTGTGTGGGTAAATACACAGGCCCAGCTCCATTTGATGGATGATAAACAATACAGATCTTACAGAAGGAGAACAATTTCAGTGTGCCTATATTTGTCTGTTCAGAAAGAGTACAACATTTGATGAATTACATTAACTATTTACTGGAGCATTGGAATAAACCCTCCCCGTGACTTTTCTTTACTTTGGCTCGTCAAGGTCCACTTGTATTTCTGCAAAGTGGCATCTTTATGTTTTATTTGTTGAGATCCAATTTTCTTAATCAACGTCAGCTGAAAAGAAAAATCTGACTTACGGCCTAACGAGGGAGCAAAACGTGGCTTTAACGCTGTTACTAAATGTCCCTGCGACCTGCCAAAAAGGGTCACCAGCTGAGTCAAATGAAGAGGCTGAAAGCTCACATGATTTTACGAGAATCAAGTTGTCTCATAAAGTACAGCAAACATAAACAGAAGCAATGAAGTGATCGTATCTAGAAAAGGAGAAACGTCTGAGAATGAATCTTGAGAGCAACGTCTGAAGGGTCATAGTTTAACCTTAAACTAGATTGGCAAAAACACAAAATATCTAATAAAGTATAAAAAAAAGTTTTTAATTTACCTGACTTCTTTTTTTTTTTCACAAAACAGAGGACTTGTCACTAATTTAAGTCAAATTCAGTTCAAAAATATCTTATTGATCCCAAAGGGAAATTAAATGTTATTATAACTCATGTTATAATAATATAAAGAGTTATAGTAGATAGTGGTGACAGATTTCCTGTAGCTGTCCGTACTACAGTGAATTGGAAGAAGCCTCTGAAAGAAGACATTGTTTTCCCAATGATAGATCTCTTCTCATGAAGAGATTTTTTAAGTATTCATTGAGCTGTATAGAAGGTATTTCTAGGCCAAATCCATTTGCCTTTCGCTCAAGCAAGAGTCAAAGCAGCATGTCAGTTCTTTTGCCCAAAGAGTTTGTGAGGAATTAAAAAAAAAAATCCCCATCTGTAAACAACTTTTCTTGGGGTTGATATGTTGAGATAAAGAAGTGTTGGAGCAAAGCTTGATTTCCAGTTTTCTCTTGACGTGCCAATTCTAAATTTGTTCTTGAGAATGTCAAAACAAGCAAATCCACACGTTCATCAACCGATATTACTAAACTCAAGACCACAACAACAACAAAAAAGCAAAAATCACTCACTGATATGCTGATAAACCAAAAATAGTGGGGGTTTTAAACACTGATGCATTTAATGGAGTAAAACATATAATTAACATCTGATTACTTTCATTTGACCTACGGATCGCTCATCAGAGCTAATCAAGTGAAAACTGGCTCATGTTAGACTAGTCCATGATAGATTGGTGCATGCCTGGCAGGCACAGTCAAACTATACAAAAAGCACTGATGAGGTGATTTTCCTTCCCAGTATTTCACTGGAACCAAGCTGAAAATCTGACCATAATCATTCACAGGACAAATCTCTTTGCCTTTTGGCCTGTGGAAAGGTAAAATTATTTATGAATATTACTTACGTTATAGGTGCATATTAGACAATCTTAAAGTGTCTTCTCAAAGTTTGCGTTTCAGATAAATATACTGCACCTGTTTTAATTTTAGGCTCCACAAATAAAAAAAATAAATAAATAGGAGGCATTTGTACATTAAGTAGCTACAAATGCACATAATGCAAAAATAAAAAAAAAAATAAAAACATTGAGATACATGCCACCTTGCTATACAAATTATTATCCTGCTTGAGAATGTGACAGCAATGGATGGATCATTGACAATGTGCTCTTGTTGTGCCCTCTGCCTGGCACAGTGCATACCCAGCATGTGTTTAGCTCCTGTGGCCCTGCAAAACAAGCTTAGGGCAACAAGGCGCCCTCTTCACAGCCAGGCCCAGCTGCCTCTGGGAAGACGCCAGGAGAAAAAGAGAGGGAGGCCACTTGAGGCAGGCATGAATCAAGGCCGAATACGGACAGAAACAACCGTGTCCCACAAAAGCTGGCCATAAAAACAGCATGACGACTCACTGAGGGCACAGAGAAACGATCCACAAAGTTGGTGTCAAGCTCAGATTTCTCGCCGACCTTTAAGCTCTGAACCATCTTTTTCCCCCTTTGACGTTCATGTGTCTCAAATTTGACCAAGGCTGGATATTAACTCACTGCCCACAAATCTCCCAGGCATCCATATTCTGTGGGAGGCACCTGGAACCCACATCAGGTATACAGTAGTGAGAAACATGTGCGGGTTAATGGGCCATAACTCATCCTGAAAAGAACAGCACCGGTGCAGGTGCATCACTAAAGAGAGCTCATTGAGCCGTTACAGTTTGATGAAGTAAATTATCTGAATTAAACACAAACAAACACTTGAAGGAGAAGCAGGAACAAGAGAATGGTTGTTGGGAAAACAAAACGAAAAAGGGATTACCGTCACATGACGATGCTCTGCTCTGCTTCTAATGTAGTCTTAAAAATACATTTCTTGTCCAAAAAAACCCTGTAAAGTTAATAAAATCAATGTCATCACAAAACCCACAATTGTTTTAGTGATCTGCATCTCAATGACTTTATCGTCAGGTCAGGGGTCAGAGTTAGCAAGGACAGGGTAGCTGATCAATTTTGAATCAATTGAAACAACAAGGTTGCAAACAGTGAGACTGGGAGTTTAAACTATTTGTGCTAATAAGTGATAAGAAATGATAAACTCAATTAAAGGACAAGCCGCCATCAATGCTTTGAATGAAAAACTATTCACAGACTACTGCCGCTAGCAAGATTGCGACCAAATCACCTTGTTATAAAAAACACAACTGAAATTTGCAAGAGAGTTTAAATTGCTGTGAAGAAAGCTTCAGGGGACATTCGAAAGACCAAGACGTGGTAGGGAAATTTCCTTTCAACTAATGGACTGAGCTGCCATGAGGACAATCCTGCTCAGGAATGGCAGTCGGCAGATGTGAGCGTTTTTGCTCACACATTGAGGCTGAGGCCTCTCAATGCTGGTCTACTATTAAAGAGGACAGCAAATAAGTCACTCCTCTCCAAGAAAACCATCAAAGATAGACTGATATACTGTGGGAGGCAATGAGATTGGCTATGGTAAGGGTATTTCCCCCATTGAAGTGTCCCTTAAGACTATTTAATACAAAAGGGGTACCCGGAGAAGCAAATGTGACCACTACCCCGCGGTTTGCCAGCAGAGGAGCAAACAATCTTGTTTTTGTTAAAAAATTTAAGCTCTGCTAGTCGCAAAAATTCTGGCCACAACTGAATAGTTCACTTACTTTTAAAAATATATCTGGTTTTGGAGGCATCAGTGTCAAAGGGACTAGGGCATTCTCGCAAAAGAAGACAACATGTCTTAATGTGATCTTTCCACTTGGACAGACAAAGTACATTACATTTGGCTGAATCTGGTTCCCTTATTTTCTGTTGGATTCCAAACTACTATCTCTAATAGGGAACTTGCAAAAGATTGTACTTTTACCACAATGTTAAGATTTATCGTTCAAATAAGTGCAATTTACACAAATGAGCATGGATGTAGAGCCTTAAAACAAAATTGACCATTCTGACTTCAAAGCCTCAATCGGTCCATCTCTAAGCTTCACCAACAGAGCGAAACACAAAATGGTCAAAGACAGACTGACTGCTTAGATGACAAACAGGCCGACTTAATGACATTTTGAGATAAAAGTCGGCTGATGATTTGCCAACATCTGTCGCCGGTTATTTCATTAGGCTGGTAAACAAACAACGCATGCGGACACATATGCAGAGCAGACAGTCTCATCAGCATGGCTGCTTTCCATTACCTGCACATAGCTGAGAGAAGTGGAAATAACTGCAAAGACGACAGAAAAGAAGAAAGGAGGTCCAAAAAGCTGAGACATAGAATGACAAAAATGATTGAGAAGTGATGTGAAAACGACAACCAAATGTAGGGAATCACCAGCCAGGGCCAGCGTCCTTCAACTTTTAGATTTATCTCTGTCCCAGCATACATTTGTCAAATAAGTATGTCTTAAACAGGATTCTGCAGAACTTGTTTCTGTACTTATGTCATTTTCACATCTGAGTCAGGTGTGGACAGGGTACCCATTCAAGAGCTGAGGGCTGGACTTTGCCACCACTGATATACAAGGTGCCATTTTAGATCAAAATTCATCTCAAGGCCTGAAACAAAAAAACAAAAAAAGCAAATGGGCCCATGTACATTTGGAACACACACCCAACAACGTTTATGTTCACTTGGCCTATAAACACAAAACCCAGACGTGACCCAGACTTCAAAGCTGCCCTGAGTTTTTGTCACTCTCTAGATGTAGCCTGTGACTTTATATCTCCCCATGACATAAAAATAAAATAAAATCAACAGGCCCACTTTGGTTCAGACCCCCCACGTCTTACGAATGGCTGATGTATACGGATGTAAGGGTGTCGCAGACTGCAAGAGGAGAGCAGTTTGCACTAGTGGGACGTCTGATGTCCTCAAATGGCTCTTTGTGTTGATGTGTGAGGCCTAAGAGCTGCCGATGGCCATGTCAGGGAAGGGAAAAGCTAAACTGCGGTGCTAAAAATACCTCTAATTGGTTGCATTTCAGTTGGAAGTAATTAAGTGGGGATAATTCCAAATGACAAGAGGCACTATTATTGTAAAGCAAATCTTTCCAGTAGTATGTTACATTATTAGTCGTAATTAGTTTGTGGGATATTACCTCAACAAGTCAAATGGCAGGAATGCGTGACTTGACTGAGAGCCATGCAATGCAGAGCTCTGGACTCTCTGCAGCCCAGGAAAACACCACATGATGGACATACCTCATAGGCTGGGTTCGGAGTGCTGTCTTCAGATCTTCCACCACCTTGTTCCGCATTTCCATTTCTTCCTCATCGAAGGCAAACAATGTCTGCATCTGCAAATATAACAAGGAATTCAGATCATTGTGGATCTAAATTGTGGATCCAGTTCAAAAGTGCTGGTGATATTTCTGTTCATCCCTTCATCTTTTTATTCATTTTGCAGTTTTTCTCATCTCATACGTGTTTGTTTTGGATACCAAACAGTGCCAAAACAGACACGTTTTGACTATGCATTTAAATCTTTTCTTAAAATCTTTGGCAACAATTTAGCCCGGAATTATTTTTGGTTTAGTCAAAGATTCTCATATCTTAGAGGTTCTTATGCTATTGCATCCTTTTGATCATTTCCAGGTAAACACCACAGGGAGAGTTTAAAAAAATATATAAAAATAAAAAATTTCAAAACAATTTTTCAAATTGGTAGTTTTTGTTACACCAAAATCTATGCTTACATCAAGATGGGAGGTGGAAACACAGAAAGAAAAAATCTGTTTTGCAAAAATGTGAACAGGCCTTGGAGATTTCATAAATCACAAGCTGTTTCAAAGAATTCTTGTCGAGTTCAGATTTGATCAGTCCGAGTAATAAAGATTACTCGGACTGATCTGGTTCAAAATACATCTGATTTTGAACCAGAGATGATCAGATCTCCAGAGAAAATCAAGTATACTTTTAGTTATGAAGCTACAAAGTAGATGCTAACATTACCGCTGTAACATCTAATGGTTTGCCAACTGCAACATCCTTACAGGGCTTATATACGATTCATATCTTATTTGCCACACTTTCCACAGAAATGCCCAGAAGCCTACCACAGACAGCGGAACAGACTACGTTTTTACTCTTTTATTACTCTTTTGTAGTGCTACTACATAAAGAGAAGCCTAAAAAAAATTGTTTTACTTTTTTAATTTTAATTTAAAGTCTTGTACACTGATGCATTTCGTCATGTTTCTCCAGCTTCATATCCATAGCCCACAACAGCAACTTAGACTTAGTTCATAAGAAATAGTATGAAGTCAATATCTTGTCACCCCACAGGCACAATCACTTAAAAACCGTTATATGTTCCCCCTTCTTTCAGTGACTTTTCTGTCAAGAGAAACCAAACACCATGTCAACAGAAGTTATGCAGACAACTGGCTCTAATCAAACTTACAACAAACAGGGCAAATAATAAAAAAACACTCAAACCAGTGTTCGTGTTAATGCATCTCTGCATCACTTAAAAGGTTTCGTCAGTAACATCAAAGAGCAGCCGTGCTCCCATTAGTCACGGCTTCTGTTTAGCCTCTGCGGGCGTTTTCCATGGCTGCTCACTGCCAAAGCGGTCGACCTGAGTTTATTTCAGCACTCTGAGTCGGATCTGCCAACTCTGAAAAGATGTCTTCTTTTCTGGTCCTTCAACAGGGTATCTGAGTTGGAAATCCTACAGCATGTAACTCTTATAGTCAACTAAGGCTTAACTGTAAGTTTGACTGCTCGGCAACTTTGTACAGCAGAGTTAGTGCTTAATCGAAAAACGCTACAGTCAAAACATTTATCAAGTTGACTTAGTCTCAACTGCAGACAGTCCAGAAGCCCTGAAGAGGCAGTTCTCTTAGCCAACTCTCGATGTCAGAGTCTAGCCAACAGCTTCTTCCTTACATCTGTTATTTGTCAGCTCATTCATACCTGTTGCCAACATCCACACAAGGATACCATTACAGCCTGTTGGTAAACCAGCAGATGGTACTTCCCTGAGTCTTTATTATAGGAAATGCAGCCCAGAGCCACAACATTGCCTTAGAGCTGATCATCAGTGCATTGTTACCAGCCAGACTGGTGCTGCTGCTCTAAAGACTAATGTAAGCCATGTGAGTCACTGGCATGCCAATTAAAAATATGGCTTTAATGCTAAGAGGGGGAAAAAAGAACACATATTAATGTGTTTAAATGAAGATGAAACAATAGACAAAGTATTAGGTTAATCAAACCAGTAAAAATTATCTCTCAGGTGCTAAAAAACATTTTTTTTTTAAATTCATGCTGTTGATTTGGGTTTCAGAATGTTGAGAATTATGGAACATTATCATAAAAACCTAAAAGATTCCATGCTATACTAAAATTTGCGAGTGATAGTTTGATTTCAGAATGCATACATTTGGTTTTAATGATCACTTCATAATATTAAAAGTAATCTGCTGGTATTGAAATCACAAAACAGCCATTAAAATAAGGATGCCGTTTTTCCAGAGTAATCGTAATCCCGTCATAGATTTAGGGAATTCAGTTGTTTGCGAATCATAACTTGTGCCAGTAGATGTCACAATAGCCAACAGTTGAAATACTTCTGTTTATTTAACATTTAAAATACTTCTGTTAGTTTACAAGTCGCTAAGTGGCATAGGACCATAAGACATTAAAGATTTTGTTGTTTCTAATCAGGTCTTGTGGTTCAAGACTATTCAACATTCCGAGAGTCAGAACTAAACATGGAGAAGCAGCATTTTTTTAATTAATTTTTTTAAAGTTTCTTGAATTTGGAACAATCTTCCAGTATTACAGAGAGGAAGCATCGGCTTTATTCCAGCTAGCTTTCTTGCTCAAAAAGGTTTAAGATATGGTCTTCCAATGTCATTTTAAGTCACGTCTATCAAACAAGTTGTGTAATTCTACAGGATTATTGCCACGGCTCTTGTTGAAATGGTAACAAAAACCAAAAGTTAAATAAATATCCATTGCGTTAAAACATATTTAAGGGAAAACCATAGTTTCAGCCGACAGCTTTTTCTGATGGTCAAATGACAACAATTAATATGATGAGGAGAAATCAGTTATGCAGTTGATTTAATACACAATACATAATTTGATACCTGATGTTTGGGTTTATTAAGAGGCTGCCATGTCATGACTGAGTGACTTGCTTAATCCCAGGTTAGAAGTTTTGAATCTTTTTTTTTTTCCCCCCTCTTTGGGGAAGCTTATTCCATCATCAGGTTATTAACGTCAGGACAGCAAGCACATTTGTGTTATAACTGTACAGCCAGCAAACAACCTTTGAGCTCCGACGTGACTTTATGAATGAATGTCAAGATGTAGGTCATGAGGCAGTCTCTCAAGCTGACGGAGCCAAAGTGAGATCATCCAATAACTCAGCTACTGTAGAAGGTCTGTCCCCGGTGAGCTCAATTACTCGCCAAGACATGAAGTCATGGATCTGCAGCGTGGATGCACTCAGGAGCTCCGGTGTCGAGAACAAGGAGGGTTGCAAATAAGGATGAAAAACGTTTTGGAAGATGGAAAGATGAATAATGGAGCCAAAAGGAGGTAGATGAACAAAAGGGTGTTTGTTCAACTTTAGAAATACCTGAATAGAATCATAGCATTGGAATCTCTCTAATACAAGCTAGATTATGTCTGAGAATTTTATAACTGGTTGTTTCCAATGTCTAAATCCTCCCCCTCATATTAGAGTAATTACTTAAACTGACACTGTTACGACCAAGCCAGTGGGGCGTTACAATAACCGGGACCTCATCCAGGATCCATTGACTGTTTTTTGGCACGGATTGACTCCCTTTAAGTGAGGTCACTGAAGATTGATTTAAATCAATTCGAGAGTCACGTCATCAGAGGTTTTGTTTATCGTTTTCTATCCATAATTGTATGGAGGAAAATCTGGACTCAATTTAGGAGTTTGCAACACTAAAACGATAAGAGACAAACAAGTAGCAGAAAGTGGACTTATTGGTTAAAAGAGTTCCACGTATATTGAAGCAGGCTTTTCATGAACGATTTGCACAAATTGGTTTGTAGCAAATGTACTAAAACAATGGAAAGGCTGAAACACATCGCTGACAGGGAGTTTGATGATAGTCTGTCTGACACCTAATAGCACAGCAGGCGCTGCTGCAGTGCTGATGGATTTTTCAGCTCTTGGCAGCTTACAAATCAGAGTTTTCTCTGAGCTCAGCTTACAGTGTGATGCCGTTTGTGAAAGGCTGGGTGCTGCCTGACCCAGACAGTAAAAACTGTTCACCCAGATTTTGAGACTGAAGTAATGGACGTGTAGAATCTCGTTTTGCCTGTATATTCGCCATGTGAAGGGAGCATACCTTCAGTGCTCTCAAAACCCAAAACGACGCATAAGCTGTTGCTGCTCGTTTCCATGAGAAAAAAAATGCATTGCCCAAAAAAGTAACTGTTCACTAACAGATGTCTGTTTTTGCTTTTGTTTCACCGTTTTATGTTTTTGATCACATGCATTTTAATGTCAGGCTATAATAATCTGATAACAATCTGAGCTTTTCTTAGAAGCAGCTGAAGTCCGATTTATTCAGGATGACTTTTAACTACTTTTGGGATTGTATGATTTGTCTCTAATTTTTTAACTGTCGTTTTATTTTTCCTTTTACCCCTTTCCCTTTGATTTATTTGTTTGTTTTAATGTATTTGCATTCATTTTTATATTGTATTGTAATTTTTGACCTGTGCATGGTGCCATATGAATTAAGCTGCTTACATACTAATGGCCTTTTTACAGCCATTCAGAGGTGGAAATGCTGGTCTGCTTTGGACCAGTTTCCTCCTACCTGATTCCAATTGTGTTTTGTCACTCCACAGATTTTTTTTTCTCACAAAAGTCATGGGAATCATTAAGATGTTTATGGAAAATCTGGGACAGGTCTTTGTGTTTCATTTGGTTAGTAGTTGCTTCCACTGTGGTGCTCCCCACTTATGCTCATTTTACCTGGTTTCTTTCTTCCTTTTTTCAAATTACGAATCGTAAATTGCCAGACCTTGTATAACGCTCTAACAAGTCAAGAGGACTCCAAAGCACTTTAGACATCATTCAGTTATTTCACCAATTCACACACACATTCACATGCCGATGCTGGTAAGCAACACTGTGTATGCTGCTCACTGTTTTGTATTTTATTCATGTGTGAATAATGTCTCTTTCTGTGATTAGATGGAATCCCAGAGTACTAGAAATATATTTGTAATCCCTCCCAGACAGATGTCAATGGCAGCTCTTATGCTGCTTTTTGACATCTTTCAGCCTACTTCATGTTGTCAGACAGGTCCTATTTAAGTGATTTCTGAATTTGTAATCAAACTGTGGCAAGTAAAATTGAAAACTTTCTAAAAGTGAAATTGTTAATTCCTGATTTCATTAAGGGGGGGTAATTCTTTTCCACATAGTGACAGTTTGGTTTGGCTTTTTCTTCCCCAATTTACATAATGAACTATTACCATTTGATAAAACTGTTTTTTAAATTTATGCAAGTTATTTTTGTCTAACCTAAAATAACATTTGATGGCCTAAAATAATTGTGAGAAAAACAAAATAAATCTGTAGGGATGCAAAAGAACTTTATGACAATCAACATTATTTCATTGTGTTTTGTCTGATTGCTTATATTGATTTGCATGTATCATATCGAAACAGTTGTCTGATCTGCAACTTGGAAAGACTCACAAGAATAAAGAAACAAATCTCAAGCTTAGTAGAATGTGGACAGATTGTGATTAACACTGCTCATCTATAAAGATCCTGCTTACATGTCAGCCTCCTAAAATATCTGTTTTATGACTCCCAAACATTTTTGGAGCCAACATGTCGTCCACTTAAGGACTCTGGAGGAGAGGTCAACGGCACAAACTGGTCACTGAATCAAAAAACACAACTTCCCCAGAAAGGCGCATGTTGAATGACAATGAACTCGCCGCAGAAGAGAAGTTTGTTATGGTGTCAAGCTGTTTTCACTGGCTGGAAAATAGTGTATACTGTCATCTTGACTCTGGGTCGCTGACAGTTATGCCCACTTACTGAACTGCTGAGTGTCTAAATGGCCTGTTTGTCATCACAGTGTGTGTGTGTGTGTGTGTGTGTGTGTGTGTGTGTGTGTGTGTGAATGCGGGGGTCAAAGAGAAGGAATGCGGTCATGTGAGTGCAATCAGCAGTCAGCGGGGACACGATGAAAAATTCACCCTGAGAGAGAGCTGAGGCTGAGAGAGCAGTGACCTCTTGAGAGGAGAGCACTTAAATTAAGTGAGGTATTTTAAAAAGAATGTAAAGTTAGGGTAAAAAGAAAGTACACCCTAAAATATTCTACACTATAATGGTATGTACAGTGGCAATGTTTTTGGTCCACTTCTTCCCAATGGTTTTTCAGCTCATTTAGACCTTTGTTGAGGTCTGGACTTTGACTGCGCCACCCCTTGATTCCGTTCTCTCACAGCTATTCAAATTTCACTCCTGAATAGTTTAGTCTGCAAAGAAGTTCAGGATTAACTAAACTGGGTGACCAGATCCTGTGACAGGCCTACAGTCATCAGACCTTGACCACCGTGCTTGACATTCATGGAGACGTGATTGTGTCAATTTTTGCTATTTAATTTCCAATAAATGTTATAGCCTGAGATGAAGCTTGTTTGGGGGGTGAAGAAGGGTGTATTGTAATTTTTGAGCAGGAACTGTGAAGAGTAGAAATGGTTTTCAATGTCCCTGTTGCAAATTAGATTGTTTTACAAGCCAAAGGAGATCAACTCGTTATGTTCTGACACACAAAACCCAACGTTTGAAAGTAGATTTACTTTGTTTTGAACAGGATTGTATGTGCAAATTTAAATAGGAAAAAAAAACAACTAAAAACCAATTGAAACAAAAAGGACAGAAACTTACAGCGGCCATGGAGTTGATGCGGTCTATGTAGTAGTCGGGCCAGCTGGTAGCCAGCTTGTTGGGATCTTCTTGCTCCTAAACACAAAGAAACAGAATTAAGCTTTTTTTTTATGTCACAGTTCAGCCGTGATGAAATAACAGGAAAATAAACAGATCACATTAAAACATGTGTTGTCTCAGCACAGATCATAGTCAGAAGTTTCTATCACAATCAGAACAATGCATACAGTAAGCCATTGTTTGTACACTGAAGGATTAGCTCATAAGCCGGCTTGTCTTACGCACTAAAGTAACAAGCCTTGACAGCTATTAGAGAGGTTTATTAAAAGTAACAGGAAAAGTATTTTATTTCCATTTGTATTTGCTAATCCATGTTGGTAATTTTTTTCTTTAAAGTGGCGCTGCTTTTCGAGCAATAAACGAAAAGAAGCTATTGACACAAATGATTATCTTTTTGACCCATTTTCCATCTAAATACAAAGAGCTTCCTAATGGAAATTAAACAATAGCTCTTTCATCTAGTGATGAATTTGCTCTGTCTAACTTAGGGATGCTTGATGCTAAAAGCAACCGCAACCGTATTCCACAGTCAAATCTGACCCTGTCCTTAAAGCTGCAATGTTGGGCAAATATTATTTCAAAAATGGTGGAAGTAGTCACATTAATTCAAGCTAAAGAAAAAATTAATTTTACTACTTGAAATGTTCCTCTTTTTTCCATACCTAAAGCATTTTTCTTTTTTTATATATATGATGGAGGAAAAATAGTGCTAAATGATAATCTACATTTGTCCATTTTTTAAAAATAAATAATACATTTACAACAAATGTGTCCTGCGTATGCAATCAGTCTCTTTGAATCTACTACTCTTGAATGAAAATCCAGGGACACCGATTATCTTTATAAGTTAAGCAGAGTTCATCCGTGCTGTTCTGCAAAAACCTGTTAAAGATTAGAGAACAAGCAGCGTCATGAGGACAAAGGGGCATTAAGAAGAAGATCAGGGATAGAGCAAAGCTGTGGAGAAAACTATTCACATGACTGAATCCAAGTAAAATACATTGAAGTTTATGAGACAAAATGTAAAAACGCTCAAGCAGTATTATTACTCTTACAAAGCACTCAATACCATAGATCGTATTCCTAATAGGGACACCGAGACTTCACAAACAAATCTGTGCTTTCTTTAGATGCAGTGAGAAAACTAGAACTGAGACTGATTCCAGCTTTCTAACAAGCTTATTTTCCACTGGTTTTGTCATTTACAGAGTGCTAATACTCTTTTACAGACCACTTGATAAGCTCATATTCCCTTCACACAAAACTATCCAAGTTTCAGCTTGCTCCAGCCATCTCTTGGTATTTTCAGTAAAAACAGACCAGGAACCTTTCTAGGGAGACCTGGGTAAAAAATTAGAAAAAAAAGTTTAATTGGTGGCATGTCCATTTAATCATTTCTATTTTAACAATTTCATTTACTCTGAACGCATGTTTATGCTGTAGCAAGAATCTATTTACTCTGTAATCAAAATTAATGACATGCTGCTTCAATATTTGCAACGTAGCACCACACAGTAAAAAGCAAATTAGCCTTTCTGCTGATCAAGTCGGTCAAAGTCCAGAATGAAATTCCACTTAATTGATTTTCCCTCAGACATAACATCCTTTAATTGTCTACATTAAAACGGGAGATTTAAGTTTGGCCATATAATGAGCAACGGAATCAGCAAATACTCTGATTGTGGAAAAAGGCTCCAGCTTTCCTGGACTCTGTACAAGTTTAGTCAATGTACATTTCAGTCACTGTAATGACCATTGTTTCTGAGGTCCAGCACTCGGTGCCAGAAAGCTGGTTCAACCCTGAAGGGCTGAAAGGAAACAAAAACAATAAAACTCACTGTGCTGCTATGCCTGTGTTTTTAAAGCTGGCCCATCTTTCCCAATGCCGACACGCTGAGGACGCGATGCCAGACAGATTCTGATGCTCAGATTAACAATCTAACTGCCCCTCCGTGATCCTTTGGCCAAATCACAGCCACCCAAACATTTGTTTTGGCCACTACATGTACAGTATAATTGTCACCACGTTTCAGAAGAAATTAAAAAGGATGACAAGATTTGTTTGAGAGGGTCCTAGTCATATCAGTCGACACATTTCCTTAATTTAGGTCCTTATAATGGAATATTTAGGTGGTGAAATGGTGCAGAGTCTGTTCATGTGTGTTGCTGGCTCAATCAAACCACTCTGGAAAGTAATAACAGTTGATGACAGGTATTAAAGTTGTGTGATAAGAACTGAACGGTGTTTGGAACAAATGAAACACGCCAACTTCAGCCTAAGAAGACTCGATGCATGAATGTGCTCATTATACAACAGCCTTTTTCTTTTTTTTTTTGTTCCTTTTGGGGAATTGGCTTCATCCTCACTCTGCAGCCTTTCAGCCCACGGTTATACAAGACTCGTTTCAGTGTGGATGACACTTTATTACCAGCATAAATCAATACCTTCATGAGGTATTTTGTTGTGTGACATACTTTTGTGTCTCTTGGACACAGAACTCGTCTTACTACCCCACAGAGTTTATACCCGTTTGAAAAGAAGAACATGAAAATATTCACTCATCTGGAATTGATATTTGGATGAACCAAACCTGTGCTGTTTTTTTTTTTCTTCCTGATATCTTCGTTATTTTATTTCTTATTTTTTTTTATGGTGTATTAGCATCAGAAAGGTCCTAGTCTGCTTATTTAGTTTGGACCAAAAGCAGACTTTTTTTTTTCTTTTTTTTTGCTTGGTGTGGTTTGCACACAAATTAGATTTTTCAAATGGACTATAATTTGTAAACAAAGAAATAGGCAACAATCATCGCTCCCATTCAGCAGAAGCGATGGGAGCGGAACAGAGCACAGACACGGAAAAAACTAACTTTAAGATTGAGATAAGTTACATTTTTGTTGTGCACATTTAAGCTGTTATTACAACAAAAATAACATTTTGAATTTCAAGAGCGGCTTGTGTAACACTGGCTTCACAATGGAATATTTCTAATTTTCTCAGAAAATGAGAGCTGCAAGATGAATGAGACAAGATGCTCTGGGAGCCACAGCATGCTGGCAGCAGTAAGCAGAAAACTGTGGATGATCAGGTGTGACTTCAGTTCAACCAGAACATTCAGTAGTAGCTTTAGTAAGACTGAAGGCAATGATGGCTTGTAAAATCCAAAAATATGTATATGTTCTGGAGTATGTCTGCTTTCACATTGTAAGCTAATCATACCACAGTTTGTGGAAGTGGACTGAGACCACCTGAAAAACTGGGTCTTAGTCCGGTTGTTTGTTCTACAGCAAAATTTGCTTGAGTGTATTCACACCAGCACCAAAGTTCTGGACCAACTGGGGGGAAAGAACTATTTAAAGTGGTCTAAATGTTAAAATAAGTTTGCCTCTACTTTATTCAAATGTTATAAAATAATCTATAAGAAGCTCATGAAGCCGCAACATCATCTATACCATCAAAAATGTTTTTTTTTTCCAAATTACTTGAAGGCACTGCAATCCAAAAAACTTCTGAATTTTAACTTTTAAATAGGTTTTTCCTCAATATTCTAAAACTTGCTTTAATCCCAAGTGACTGAAAACAGAGTGAGCTTCATCTGGTTTAATGTCAGACAGTGTTATGCCTTCAGCCGTTTCTAAAAACAGCTGAAGCTGAGAAGTGAAGTGCAGCTGATGCTCCTCCACAAGCAAAAAGTGTTTTTGGTCACGCGTTGGGCTGCAGCAGTTTGGGGTCGACCCCGTCACTCTGCTGCAACAATTACACACCATGACCACACATTCCTTACGTCGGCCGACGTTAAATGTGATTTACAGCGTGCGACACAGCAAAGAAAGACAGGAATCCCCAACAGCATATCAAGTATATATATCTGCAAGGTGTTTCACTTATTGCAACCATCTGGTGAGGAAAATATTGCGCCCCCGAAGACCCAAATACCTGGCTAACGCCAACATCCAGACATATTTCTTTGTCTGTTTGGCAGGCTATTGTGTTTGCAAAGGCACCTGTTGAAAGAAAAGATGAAATTACATACTCCAGCTTCCCCGCTGTCATGTAACAAGCTGTCTTAAACATTCTGAGCCCCCCTCAGAGGTTTCGCTGACAAATAATTGAGCTCACAGCCTGGAAGAATCTGGTGCACATATAGCTTTCAAGTCACAACTTCAGGAGCAACAGGAGGTGAAATTCCAACTACTCAGCTGGCAGCACCGAACAAAAAGGTACTTTGAAATGTGGAAAGATTTTACAGTTTGCCTCACTGTAGGAAATAGTCTCGCTTTTAGATGATGACCAGCAAGTGAGGAAATTACAAAGAAAAAAAATATATAATGCCCCAGACATCTCTGAAGAAGCACATACTCAAACAAATGTTTCTTTACAACTGTTAAGATTTCCAGCTTTGGTAGCCAACCACGCACAACCGGTCGTTCGGTTGTATAAAGGAATAGAAACTCTACATTAACTCTGAGAGACACACTAACATGTCCCAAGAGCGCTCCGGTTTTGCCACGGGATTGGACTGCACTGCAGCTAACTCTAAAACTCTCAATAGAGCTCCTTAATATTAATAAAGACACGAGCAAGAAGCAACATGCACTTCATTAATTCAAAACCTGATGCACCACTCGGGTTTTTCCTGGAGGAAACAAAAGCAATTTTCTTGGAAATCTGAGCTGACGGTTTTAATTTTGTTTTTGACGAATCATCATGCATTCAAAGTCAAATTTGACCCAAATGAAGGATGTGTGATATCAGGAAAAACCTACAGCTTCAATGTCACCGCTCAACAATGAAATAACAAAAACCACTCAAACATAATTTGCCTCACTCTTTGCTTTCTTTATCGTCACGATGATGTCTCCACCATTCTCTGTGAGCCTTAGCATCTTGGTCACTGAAATCAATATCTGGTGCGGGAGGCAAGGCTAAACCGAGACGCGATATGATACTGTTAAGAATGTCAAAGCCCTGTATTTTTAATCTAAATTAGAAAAGATGAGATGAACAAAAGAACTGATCGTGAAATAAATAGCATGGCTCACTGGTATTGCCATTCTCTGATTAAGAAGCACAAACAAAATCTCTGGAGCCAAAAGACACTTTTAGGGAAAAAGAGAGAAAAGGACAACAATCATTTTCATGAAATGAGTTATTACTTGTCTTTATAGGAAAAACTAAATATACTCAGTTTTGCTATGGTATTCAGTTATAAATTAGATTAACTCATCATATTGATTACAAAACAAAGTCAAATGCCTTCCATTCCTAATTAAAGTGAAATGTAAATTTTTTTTTCTAAATTCTTAGCACAAAATGTCACCACAATCACAACATGATCCCATGGGATGATGAGGACCACCAACTTTCCAAGGTCACCCTAAGAGCTTGGAAATGGGACAGGATATCGAATCTCCAAAGATTTTGTTAAGCCTAACACTGAGATTTTTTTTTTCCTTTTTGTTTTTACAGATAGAAAGGGTTAAAGTTTTTTATTTTTTTTTTGCAAGCTGATTGTTTTGCCACGAATCACAGTGAGGGACAAGATGAAGCCCACATGCTCAATAGTTAGAGACATTATCAGCGACCATTTTCAGTGATTTTCCAGGTTCGGTCCACGCTGTAATAACAGTCAGATTGTGTTATGTAATGCCATTCCTGATCGGTATTGAGATGTAGGATAACGTGAGATATGCTCCAGGGCCGCATACAGGAAATTGAAAGGAAATTAAGAACATTTTTTAGAACCTCTCGCTCTCTACAATTTGCACACACACAAAAAAGTGCATTACAACCACATTTATCCAAAAACATTATCTGCCTGTGCTGCCTGACAAAAATATGAGTTCAAAGTGGACATTAGATTTGAAAGTGACGACCCAATACACTCTGGGTATGGGAGCTCCTCTTGTTGGTCTGGATAGAAGCAGGATGGAGTCCTGGAACCATTTTATTCTCTTAGATTAGAAGTGACCATAAAGCTACTTCAAAGCCTGCCAGGTCTAGCAGACTGAATGATTCAACACGCATATGGTTGGAAATGGATTTATTGTGGATGAAAATACCTCAGCATGAGTCTATTAATGGAGCAGTAAATTTGTAATCTGTGTGATGGAAATTAATGGGGAAGCAGTTTGACACAGGTTGATGAAAAGACTCCGATATCAAGATGTAAGGGCATCTGGTGTATAACAAAAATAATTCTACAAGGGTGTGGGCTATTTTGAGCAACCCTAAACATTTGCAGTGTAAGTGTACTCATATAAACACTAGTTTCAACCTTGGTCCAATGCAACATGCAAATGTTTCACATTTCTGACAGAAGCACGACAAGACTTTTTTTTTTTTTTTCCCCCCAAGCAAACCCACATCTCACCGCCTACCTAACTCTATCAGGTTACTGTGTCTGTAGACTGCGTCTGATGACCCTCTCTAATTATTCCTACTAAATATCAGATTGTCCAGGAACTGCCTGCAGCAATATCATGCCAGTCACCATGGCACCATTTTGATTAAAGGATTAAAACAATTTATAGCCCCATTAAATGGGCTTGGTTTAAAATATCTGGAAGAACAGATAATGACATTATCTGCTCTTCCAGACAATTCCAGAATAATTTCATCAATTTCAGATAATTAATGAAATTATCTGCTCTTCCAGACAATTAGAAGTTTAAGTTTGTCTCTTATGCAAAAATCTTATACTATGTTTCTGGCACCATACAAAAAATGTAATTTTTTAGGCATTAACAAAATAGCTTCATATTTTGACCTGCTTTTCATTGGATTATTTAAGGTTTTAAACCACCCCTAAGGTTTCAGAAACAGGGTTGTAGCTTGGTCAGGGACTCGCTCTGTGATCGTGGCCTGAAAACACAAGTGTGTGTTTGTGTGTCAGTGCAGCGCGACTAATGAAAATCAGGAGACCCTGTTTGGCTTCCAGCACTGGACCATTATAAAGAGCTATTAGATGTTACATCGTGTTCTCTACCTGCAGGCGACTCTTGATGCAAGTCATGCAAAAAAAAGTACACACCCTCACTGGCACGAATGGGATACTCTCATATAAAAGCTAAACTGATGCCATTTCTGTATTAACATGAGAGAGGTGTGCAACCATTATTTACAGCCAAACCCTCTGGCTGTGGCAGAGATGTGAGATGGTGTGTTGGCTTTGGCAAGACAAATGGTCAATACAGCCATTTACTGTAAATCTTCATTATTTACATGTTTACATTTAATATTTGACGTTTTCCAGTCTCACAATTTGTCACTATTGCTCTAAGTGCTAAAAGATTTTTGTGGTTTAGCCGTACAGCAACTTGATTTAGATCAATTAAGCTTTCGAAACGCTAAAGCAAATGATTCATTCACTCAACAGGTTTATGGACCGAAATTAGGTTTGTGTGATTGTGCTCACAAGTTAGAATTTTTGACTAATTTATGGTTTAGCCGTTTGCAACCATGTTACAAACTAAACAAACCTTCCCTGTCACAAGATGCTGGAGGGAGTCTGGTTTGGAAACAATTCCCGTGAATGGATATGTGCTCATAAAATCAGCATTGAATAGCTTGGACAAACTAACTGCCTGGTTTTTGAGATAAAGAAAGAATTAGCAATGTACTGAAAAATCTTCAGGTGATGAGAATCAGTCAATTTTAAGCTTGATCCATTTTAATGGCACCAACAACAACAATAATCTGTCTGAAAGTTATTTAATGAGTAAATATGTCTCACAGGTAGCCAATACAGAATGAATAGAATGGATAAATTTAGAGGAAGCACAGAGATGTAAGAAGCTACAATGTGTTGAGACATGTCTATTGTTCACTGACGCTGCAGGAGAGTGTAAAAGAACAAAAAAGCAAAAAAAAACAAACAAAAAAAAACTAGACAAGATGACAGGAAGGCTGAATGAAGCGCAGCAAAGTCACCTCGTTCCTTCTGAGCTTTCAGTTGCCTATTTTAATTCCTCACTCTAATTTTGGACTAAAGTTGAACTGTAACGCTTGATTTGAATTAACAGAAGTTTAGAAAATCGCTGGCTACGTGGATAACTAACACAATAAGCAAGTGCACAAACATTTCTAATCAGGAGATCTGTTGGGATATCTTTGCAGCTCCACACATCAAAATGCATTTGGAAGGGTTTCTTAAGACATAAATATTTTGATGTTGCAAATTAAATTCCTATTTGTGGAGTTCACGAGAATATGCCGAAAGGAAACTGAAATGTGTTAATAGTTTTACAGTAAATGTGTTGTGCAGTTTGCTTGGCAGCGGGATAATGATAGATTTTCTTTGTTCCTACCTCAAAGAATAGTCTAACCGCAACAACTGGAGCCGTCGCTTCACTGAGCCAAACAAGACAACCAGTGTTCACTTTTAGCAGGACGGTTCGAGGGAAACGTTGGTCCCCATTCAAATTGCTGTCATGTGTTCACTCTGTGCAACATAAAGCTCTACTGTGTGGCGCCCTTATGTGTTGTTTCCGCACAACCTGCATCGGTTAATTTTCCTTTCTAGTGTATGTGCGTTTTTATTTTTCATGCCTGTCTGACGCTGCGCATGTGAAGGCAACGTTCATATCATCCTGGCTGCACAAACATACACAAAGCAAATTATTATCTGATATTGCACCCAGTGTTTTTTTTTTTTTTTTTTCCTGTCTCTCCCTCTCATTCTTCAGTGCAACGGCTCTCTCCACAAATGAGGGATTTGTTTGGATTTTCCTCCGGCTTTCCGCTGTTCACCGTTACCCTGGTTTAGCTCTTCGTTTTCTGGCCTGGACACAAAAGTTTGCAGAGGAAATGATTTCTGACTGGGAGAGATGAAGGTGGAATGACAAACTAATATATCCTAGCTATGAACCCGGCTTAGACTCACAGAGATCCAAAGTGCCCAGGCTGCTGCCAAAACTTTGTTTCCACTACCTTGTGCTACAGCCCAGACAGTCCTCATAAAAGTCTGTGGTTGCCTTAGTGAGTTACTCAATAACTGATACAGAAGTTTTATTGAACTGTACTGTGGGTTTGCAGCTGCGAATTCGGCCAAGAATCCAATCCTCTTTGATGAAGCACAGAGCATCCAAAGGCACAGCAGCTTATCATAATGCAATAAAAGTTAGACTGTATTTTTCTTGTGTATTTCTCCTGCTCACACTCCAGTTTCCATCTTCACCTTGACATCCCTCTAAACATCCCTCAACCCTGCTGCTCCCTTTTGTTTAATACACCGAAACCCAATCCAGGTCGGAACACATGCAGGTGCTCACAAACGTGTGCCAATGCTAAAAAAAAAACAAAAAAAACAATGTACGGGTTTACTTATTATGAAAGGTTGTCAGAACATACCCCACCAATCCAAGCTAAGCCTTGGAAAGTAGAAACTTTCCAAGAGTAAATAAGCCGAGAGACACAATAGACATTTATGTATGAGCGAGAAGGCTGATAAAGAATTGTCATCATACTTCAAACATAATGCTTTGGATGTTCAACCACAAACTCGGACCAGAGGTCTTGTGGAGAAACAGATCGAAGACAATTGGGATGTTTTCCTGCAAGGTTGAAGAGAGAGCGAAAGAAAACACTCTCCAGTTCTGATGGTGTCATCACAATTCTTTAGCAGTTTCAGTAAAACGCTCGCTCAACAACGACTGCACAAATGGACTTTTCGGTCCTGCCGCAATCCCACCGCAGCTTTCAAAAACAATCGCACCCCTAAAACAATACTGCAATACGTGCACATGTTTACGTCAAAGAAGAAATTAGAAGCAGAAATGTGGGCCATGAGGGGATGCTTTCCCCCGCTCCCCTTCACTGAAGGTTGACGTTTGGTTCTAAACTGTGGCTTCAGGCAGCCAGTCAACAGAAGGCCAGCCAGAGGATCAGAGCTGATGTATGATAAAGTACAAAACACAGGCTAGCTCACCTTCTTCTTGCTGCAGTAGATCTGCCATTTCTTCTCATCAGGCAGCGCAAACATGGCCTCTCTATTCTTGTCGGTCAAGTCCAGTTCATCCTGCAAAAACAATGAGAAAAGTTTAACCTCAACAGCCTGCACAAAGAAACGTGCAGAAAACAATAACTGAGAAAGCTGTGACAGAGAAAGGACACATTATAATGCATACATGGATTAGTCGGTTCTGGGTTATAGTCGTTTTACTGCTTTGGCATTTTTGCTTTACTTTTACGGATTTCATCGTTCCATACCTGACTTTTTATTAGGTATAAAAAGGGGTTTGGTCTAATCCTGCACATTTTGGATCATGATGCATCTGTTTGTGTCTGCCAGGAGAATGCTTTGTACCCGTTTTTACAGCTGACAATATAAAGTAATTTTCTGTTCTGTACCGTTAGTCTACTTTTAGGTAAAAACGGTTAAATGGCACCAGTAAAAATTGGCTACCAGCACAAGGTCAGTTGTACAGATCCATCCATGTGAATATCTGAAGCTATTGGCCCAAATGGATCACCAGCTATTTTATTAGGTTCAGTTGCTTGTTAATGCTAGCTGTCAATTAGCCAATCACACAGGTGCAACTCGACCAGCTTAGGCATATAGATAGATGTGGTGAAGAGAACTTCCGAAAGTTAAAAGTGACCAGACTGGAAATGAATAATTTTGAACATGCCATGGTTTTGTTGATACGCTGGGATTCTTACATACACAATCTATTGAGCTTACAGAGAATGGCGAGAAAATTCCCTTCTTGTCTTGCCGTGTTAATGTTGGCGGATAATGAGCAGACTGGTTTGAGAAGATAGAAAGCCAACAGCAGCTCAAATAATCACTGATAAACTAAAGGATGCAGAATGCTATCATGCAAAAGATGTTACTAGAGTAGATGGGCAACAGCAGCAGACTTCACCGGATGCCACTCCTTTCATTTAAAAATAGGAAACTATAACTTCCATATCAACACCAGAAAAGGGCATCAATTCAGATGGTATGGTTTGCAGGCATGACATGAAAAAATGAAGCCCAGTATTGCCAGTATATACATATGAAATGGGGACAGAAACCGGCAAGGGTGAAATGACTCAGAGTCATTTGGTTTACACTGTGAGCTTTAATGGTCCGGCTGAGAACTGGCTCCACTCACTACAGAAGAGCGATTTAAAATTCATGCTGCCACTCGGCTCAATTCTTCATGTTGGTACAAGGAGCCCCTTGCACCTTTTGAAATGCATATGAACCTTGGAAATGAGTCCCTGCATGCCAGAGAGCAAAAACAAAGTTGGAAAACAAAGATGAACAAATCAGACAAGAGAGGAGTCAAATAACAGGCAAACAGAGCGATGTATTAAAGAACAGTAACCTGTGGATGTGGAAACTGATGGGACAAGAAAAACAGCAAAAGAGGAGAAAAAGCTTTGCCAATGAGGATTTGCGCTCAACTCGAGCTAATCTCATAATGGTTTTGCTACCATGACGTCAGGCACGGGCAGCAGGCCTCCAAGGAAGCCCAGGATGAAGATGGCCACTGGTGACAGAGGTGGGGGCCCCCTTAATTCCACCCGGAGTTTGTTTTCAACAACTCCGCTGGGCAGGGAAGGCTGAGGGTGCCCAGATTCCAAGAATTTGACACTATGAAGAATGACATCATCCCTGGCCCGTTTCTTTCAATGGGATAACCAGCAGAAGCATTGCTGTGGCTTTTGGTGGAGAGGGAAAATATCTGAGGGGTGTGAATTTAAAATGGGGTATAACACAGACAGAAACCACAAAGAAGCTGTAGAATCTTACAGTATTTTTCATTTTAACAGCAGGACTTCAGAGACTCCCACCAAGCTTAAAACAATGTAAGATCAAGGGCAAAACTTGCCATTATGTGACAGCTGAATATTAAATCTCTGTCTCAGTGTCCAGATTTCGTTGGTGAGCACAGGCCTCTCTCCCCATACTCGGCTCTTCTCTGGCCCGTTGCCTGGTCGCAGGGTCAAAGCCCCGCTGTCAGATCTGCTGCTCTTTGGAAGAGCTAAATTCTTTGAGCCGGTGAGAATCTGTGAGAATGAGACCCCTGGATGTGGACCAGATGGTGGTTAAGCCAGCATCTTATCCCCATGCAGCTTGTGTTCTCCTTCCTGCTACTACTAAGGCCTCTACTTTGAGGTTTTTACATGGTGGGACCAATGTGACAGATGAATACTGAGAAACTTAAACAGCAAGAGCCTTGCAACCTTCTGTATCAAAGACATCCAGGAGAATATGAAACATTTCAATGGAATTTAAGACAAGGGATCATCTGCATATACAGTAATTTCCAAACTTTTAGATTAAAAGCTGTTAAGATATTGAAAACAACAGAGCTGCCACTTCTTCAAATCCGTCAAACATCTGTCGTAATTATTCATTAAATGTTACCTATATTTTAAATGTAATTATAATTTTCTTGAATACTTTTAATACCCCATAAATACAGGCTTCTGCTTTGCGTTTAAATCTTTCCTTTAAAAAGAAGCTCAGACAGAAAAACTACACCCCAAATTTGGATTTAATGTAGATTTAGATGGTAAAAAGCATCACATTTCATTCAAGGACGTTTTTTTTTTTTTTCTGTTTCAAATACATTGGTGAATGCCTGCTTTTCAAATAATAGTAGGCCAGTTCAATTGCATTTCAACTCTCCCCTCTCCTTAGACAAAAACGTATCCAAGCTTCTTGAGTTTCTGTCTGTTTTAATGTTTCAACTCAACAAGGTACCTCTATAGAAAATACTAACTCCCACATAAAATGTTGTTTGCATAATGTAAAACACATTGGCCACAATAAAATTCTGAATTTTTTCCACCTGTTGTGTTTTTTTTCCATGCAACTTGACTTCAACAACGGATGAGGCAGAACGCTCTTGAACTATTAATTTGTTGAAACACTTATTTTTAGCAATAGGCTTGTTTGACGGGAGTTGATCCAAATGACACATCTTGACTTGGCCTAACCTCTCAGAAGTTCTCCAAATCTGTCAAGATTATGAGGGAATCACTTTTCCACAGTCTCTCCAGGTACTTCACAGTGGGAAATGAGGCAAAGCCCTCATTTTTTCCACAACATTTATTTCAGAACTCTGGCTAGACACCAAGCTTCAATTTTATTCCGGTGATGCCATGATCTGTGAAAAAAATACCATTGTACAAAAAGAGCCCTCTTGTGCAAAGGAAAATCCAAGTAGGATAGCTGAACGTCACTATAACTAACAGTAGGTGGGGACTCCAGAAGGCTGGATGGTGAAACTAAAGCAAAAAGAGCTTCAAATAAGTATTATATTAAGTGTGTGCATAGTTCTGCAATCCACTACTTACCTCCACTAAATTCATTTATTTTTTCTGCCCCATTAATAATTTGCAGTGTACTGCATTAAATGTTTTAGACAAATTGCATACGACTAGGAAATCTAGAATTACTTCTATAGATATATATAGAAGGTATCAAGAAAAAAAAAAGATAGCAAGATAATGGAAAAGGTACTACTATAATGGCAAGGTACTATTCAGATACACAAAATTTGTAATTTACTTATTGTCAGATTGAAACATTTCAAGTCAGCAATCACAAAAGAGAAATAAGAAAACACTAAGTTATGGATGAGGACTTGGCGATAATGTTCTCGTCATTGCAGCTGGAGTACTCCTCTCTTTCCAGTTATGTAACATTACTCGGTTGTACTCCACTTCCATCTTGCCTCCCACCTTTCAAACGGTTTCCAATATCACATCTACATCACGTGGAGCGCCTCGTGACCCAAGCAGCACCCCAGAAAACAGGTAATTCCTTCACTCTTCCAAAACAAAACCCAAGACTTTTCTCTTTGTAGCGGTATACCTCCCTCAACGTGCCTCCTTCCTACGCCAGCACGTTTCAGTTGGGAAATCATATAAAGCAAAGATAATATTGTTACACCTGCTGCTTGAGAAGGGGAAAAGTACATACCTCCAAATCCTTTCATATTTCATGCAGAGCTGCCAGCTGAATAATGTTACACTATTCTTAAAGGTTATCAAGGTGAGATCTGATCATCATGTTCGCTGCAGATAAATCTCTTCTGTCACTTAATTTCCGGCTTATAAATGCTTGTGGGCTTCTCGGTTTAGCCAATTTAATTCAAAAGATATGACAGAGTTGCAATGCGGCAAGTTTCAAAATCTAAACAGCATTAGTCAAATTTAGTCTTTGGCACACTTACAAAGGCAAAAGAAAACGGTAGCATTGCTCCAAAATAGGAGAAAAAGGACCCAGTCTTCAACCAGTCTTAAATAGTGACTGGTGAGACCTAAGAACCACGGTTAGGGACGTCTATGTTAAAACTCCAGGAAGTTTTAGCTGAAAATATGGCTGATTTTATTACTAAATTTAAGTCTGACATCATTGGGCCTTTCAGTAGGACAATAATAGACAATATATGGCCAAATCCATCACTTTTTTCATCACCATCTCAGTCCGCAGACCTAAATCCTAAATTACACCTTTGGGGTGAGTTGAAGAACAGAAAGTATAGCAAAAGACCAGGTACTCTTGTCTCTCTATGACCTCATATTAGATCTTCCAACGATACAAACAACACTTGGATAGGATAGAAAGGAGATTAAAAATGTAAACACATTTGATAAAAGAGAGGTTTGCATGTAAAACATTGGAAGTTGCATGTAGGGTTAAGATGGAAGCTGATATCTAGACAAAGATCCTGAGGAATGAAGAATCAGAGCGAGAGTTGGTGTGAGGCTTTGCAGTGGGAGTGTCTTTGTGGACTGGAAATACTTGTGGCTTCGCATACATGGGAAATGTGACATCTTCTCTCATGCATTCATGTCTATGAAGTGGCATTTCCAGGGTGGACCCAAATGTCTTTACCTCCTGTTCGGTCCAGCAACATAAGCCGGGAGAACAGACTCATGAGCTGTACAGGTTATCCTGCATGAGCGAGGCAGGGGAAAGCAGGCAGGAAGTCATATTAGACCTCCAGGGAGACTACAGGAAGTCGGAGTGATCATTATTGACCCAAACAAGATACAGTGAGTTTGCTC